ACCAAATACATTATTTATTTAATAAATTTAAAAAATAAATTTTTCTTATAAATAGAATTATAGATAGTAATTTTTTAGCCAACATGAGTCAGGGAAGTGTTACATTGTGCTAACCCTGCCCGATAGTAGTGATCAAAGAATCATGTAAAGTGGATTTGATTTATTGTAACCCGCTCAACCATTTAACTTAACGGTTCATGTATCATTAAACCAAAAGAAACTCATTCAGAGAAAGGTTCATTCATGGAGTTTGATTTCACGAATGACACAAAAACTCATAATCTATAATCTATATGATAATGAGATTTTTGAAAACAATCGTGTAATGATATTTATGATTATGTTTATTTATAATCTTATTTATAAGAAAAAAAAAATTTTTAAATTTTTTTTTAAATAATTAATATATCTGATCTATAAACTGTCTAGATATATTAATTATTTAATAAATTTAAAAAGTAAATTTTTTTTTATAAATAAAATCAAGATAAATTTTAAAATTATTATTAATGTAGTGTCCGTGTCGAAATTTTTTTTAGACTATCCGTGTTTCATAATCACTTTTTTGATATAAAAAATCACATGTTATGATAGTCACTTTTTTAAAATCAAAACACAGTGAGAAACATGGTTTTGATTGAAACTCATAAGCACTTTATTGATAGCATCTGTGCAATTATCGTAAAGGGTCATTGGAACAATCTCTCAAAACCTAAAATCGCTTCTACTCTCACTTCCACCACCATTCACCAATGTATCTTGCACCTCACACAACACCATTACGAACCTTTTTTCATCTTCTCATTCTTCAAATGGGCTCACTCCATCCCACACTACACTCATTCCTTACAATCTTCATGGTCCATGCTTCACATACTCACCAAACACAGACATTTCAAAACCGCACACCACGTGCTTGACAAAATTGCCCAAAAGGAAATACTTTCATATCCTTCAGTTTTGACCTCTTTGGTGAGAATTCATGATGACCCTGAAGTTAATTCACATGTTTTGAGCTGGATTGTGATACATTATGCGAAATCTAAGATGACCCATGACGCGGTTCAGGTTTTTGACTTTATGAGTTTGTGTAATTTAAAGCCGCATTTGCATGCTTGTACTGTTCTTATGAACTCTTTGTTGAAAGAGGGTGTTACTAACATGGTATGGAAGGTTTATAAGAGAATGGTTAGAGATGGGGTTGTTCCGAATATTTATATTTATAATTGTTTAATTCACGCTTGTTTGAAATCGAGAGATGTGGAGAGGGCGGAGTTTATACTGAATGAGATGGAAGGAAAGTGTGTGGTTCCTGATATTTTCACGTACAATACTTTGATAGCTTTGTATTGCAAAAAGGAGATGCATTATGAGGCTTTGTCGGTTCAGGATAGAATGGAAAGAGAGGGGATAAATCTTGATATTGTTAGTTATAATTCTCTTATTTATGGATTTTGCAAAGAAGGTAGGATGAGGGAAGCTATGAGGATGTTCGGCGAAATCAAAAGTGCCACTCCCAATGTTATCACATATACTACATTGATTGATGGTTATTGTAAAGCAAATGAACTGGAGCAAGCTTTGAGATTGCGTGAGATGATGGAGGCTAAGGGATTGTATCCTGGTGTTGTTACTTATAATTCAATTTTCCGGAAGCTGTGTTCGGATGGCAGGATAAGGGATGCGAACAAACTCTTGAATGAGATGAGTGAGAAAAAAATTCAAGCTGACAATATCACGTGCAACACACTGATTAATGCATATTGCAAGATAGGAGATTTGAGTTCTGCTTTGAAGTCTAAAAATAAGATGGTAGAAGCTGGACTGAAGCCTGATCCCTTTACATATAAAGCACTGATTTACGGGTTCTGTAAATTGAGCGAGCTTGAAAGTGCCAAGGAACTATTGTTTGGCATGCTTGATGCTGGATTTTCTCCAAGTTATTGCACTTACTCATGGATTGTTGACGGCTATTGTAAGAAAGACAATACAGATGCAGTTCTAGCACTGCCGGATGAGTTTCTGAGTAAAGGTATTTGTCTCGATGTTTCTGTTTACAGGGCGTTGATAAGAAGGTTAAGCAAGATAGAAAGGATTGAAAGTGCTGAAAAGTTGTTAGTTCATATGGAAGGGAAGGGTATTTCAGGTGATAGTGTTATCTACACCAGTGTTGCTTTTGCTTACTGGAAATCAGGGAACACAAATGCTGCCTCAAATGTGTTAGAAGAAATGGCTAGGAGGATGTTGAAGATCAATGCCAAAATCTATAGATGCTTTAGTGCTCCTGATGCTAGTGAAAACAAAGTTTCACAGATGTTTTGGGATCATGTGGTGGAAAGGGGTTTGATGTCAAGAAATACAATGTATAAAATAAAACAAAATCTATAGATGCTTTAGTGCTCCTGATATGATATGATTATAATCTTGCTTATTCAATGGAAGATTTTTCATGCAATTGTATGCAATGTATTGCTTCTGGTTATCAGAGGGTCTTTCACATCTCATATGAGTTTGAAAAATCTGATATTTATTTTTTAAACTAGTGAAGAAAAAATTATTATTAACTAGGCCAAATCCATCCTTGAGTCCTTTATCTTACCTTTTTTGGTTTATATAATTTATCTTTTTTTTTTTCTTTCTATTTTATCATGCTAAAAAACATTGAGTTGACAGTAATGCTTATTTCCTATGTGGATCAATGATATCTTCCCCATTTGGTTTTTAATTTCCCCACATTTTGAGAATCCTGAAACCATTACAAGAAAATGGGAGCTGCAAATATCCTACTACATTGAAAGGTCACTGGACTGGATCGGTAGTACCCCGACTAGGTAGTAGTGAAGAAAACCGGATTTTGGTTATTGCACAGTGGACAATATTTCAACAGAATCATCTGTGTTTCATTTATTGACAGGAAGCAGAAGGAAGCCATTCAGTGAGCGAGATGGAGGACTATGTAGTTCGATTTCACAACCAACAAAAAGCTCTGCAATACACCGATGACTCCAATTACAGAAAACAACACCTCCATCCACGTGCAGAAAGGTATTTGTTTTTTATTTGATGCAGTTTTATTCTCCCCGTGGTAGTTACAAAATTCATTTAATCATTTAAACTCTCCTAAGATGCCTATATTGATTCCTTTCTACCTCATTCATATGATTTTTGTTTTGCTCACTCTTCTCATATAACATTAAGTTGATTGGTTAGTCATAGCTAGCCAGGTCAATAGTCATCCCTGAAGCATGGATTCTAAGTTGGTGAATAACCCGTGTCGAATACGTACCCGGTGCCTGTATGCATATCTTACTTGTGCTACATTTTTTTATTGTTCTGTTTTGAATAAAATTTCTGGATTTTTCATACATGTATGTATTATTAATGTATTTTAGTTTTTTTTTATAATGTTGTAACTTAACATAACTTTTGATCTTTTAAATTTTTATTGTGATGTTTTATTGTGAATTGAATAATTTAGTTCTCTTATGTTACATTATATACAAAAAGCTCTTTTTTTTTATTGACGTACCCGTATCTTGTTCGTACTTGTGTACCTATGCATCATATATAGTCATCCACCGAACATACCAAACAAACTGAACTTGCTTAGAATATGCATTTAAAAAAGCTACTGTATTTTCTAAAACATACATTTACTACTACATCCGTCTCACAAACCCTTAATGTCATACAAATTAAGGAGAAGTTATAAATGAAAAAAAGTGAATAACAATTTTACAAAATAAACCTTATTAGTTATTGATTGATTTTCATTATAATAAATGTAAAGTGAAAAATAGTAATTTGGAAATTATGTAAAAATATCAATTAGAGATTATAATTTGAAAAATTAAAAATGACATTTATCTTAGGACAATTATTTTCTTCAAATGTGACGATTATTATAAGAAGGACCAATAATAAGCTTATAAAAATGGCCCAGGGTGTATAGCTTTTAGTTGATTGGTTATTTATACTAAGTAGAGAGAAGACCTATAGATTCTGTGGTAAGGAGAGTGGATCAAGTGGAGAAGAGTCAAACAACTAGAGGCAGAGGAAGAACTAGAAAAACTATAAGAAATTATTAAGAAAATTTTTGAGATTAATAATTTGGATAGAAACATGGTCCTAGATAGAACAATTATAGCGGGAGTTGATCTTTGTAGCTGACTCCACTTATTAGGATAAGTCTTCCTTGTTGTTGTTGGTTATCTATGCTATGTCGAAAGCCACTCACCCATCAAACCAAACAAACTAAACTTGTTTAAACCGTCCATTATTGACAAATGACAACACAAAGCAACACTGAGTTCACCAGAAATTTCTAGGAAGCTTTCGTTGGGTTTGTTTATTGATTAGGTAGCTCACCTTCATTGACCAAAAACTATATTTGCTTGAACTATCCATTATGTTAAATAAAAGAAATAGAGCACTGATGATACTAATAAATAGAATAAAGCCCACTTGCATAAATTATATTATTTGATTTGATTCTAAAAATCCTTTTTGATTTCCTGCGCTTTCACTAGTACAATCTAAACACATTCTATGATATTATACCTTTATCTTTTTGGGAAGAGTCGCCAATATAGGTTTCTGTTATAAAATAATAAACGATGCTTAACAATTACACAAAGTAATTCCTATCCCTCACAAAATAGCTTATTAGCATTAGTTCACTTTATCGTATCGAGTCAGTTGCAATTTGCAATCCTTTCTTGAATTTTTTTTTTGTTTCTCCTTTCATTACGTTCTATGGCGGTCGAATTGGTTGGCAGTGCTCTTGTTTCTGCTTTCCTTCAGGTTACATTCGAAAAGCATTTAGTTTCATAACATTTGTATTAGTCCTCGGGTGCTCTTTTATTTTGCTTTTTGTGCCTTATTTCCAAAAACATTTGTATTTCATAAGGCGCATTTAGTTTTATTTTGGATGGCTGAGAATTTTCTTCAATGCCCTCGACAGAATATGAGCATGGAAGAAGTTGGTGAACAGTACTTCAATGAATTATTTTCGAGGTCATTTTTTTCAGATATCAAGGCAATATGAGATGCATTTTGTAATGCATGATCTTCTCAATGATTTGGCAAAATATGTATGCGGGGATTTTTGCTTCATATTTGATGATGAAGAATCACATAATATATTGAAAATGACTCGTCATTTTTCATTTTTTAATGTGGTGTCCTTAAAGTTGAGCAATTGTGAAAATATTGTGTTATTACCTCCACTTGGAATTTTGCCATCTCTCAAGAACCTGTGGATCACAGGGCTATCTGGGATAGTGGTTATTGGTGGTGAGTTTTATGGAAATGGGAGTAACTCTTCTTCTGAAATTATTCCATTTGTATCCTTGCAAACCTTAAGTTTTAAAGATATGAAGGGATGGGAAGAATGGGATTGTAAAACTGTGCCGGGTGCTTTTTCATGTCTCCAAAAGCTTTCAATTCAAAACTGTCCAAATCTAAAAGAGTGTTTGCTTCAGCATCTTCCGCGGTTAATGAAGCTTGAAATTTCTTATTGCCAACACCTTGTGAGTTTTGTTTCATTTGCTCCGGCGATTCATAAATTAGAGCTATTTAATTGTGGAAAGCTGCAAATTGATTATCATCAGCTACTTTGCAAATTCTCAAGATTGGTGGCAATTGCATGGAAGAAATGTTGCTTGAATGGATTGGACACACTTTATCTCACGCCCCTCTCGAATCACTCGAAATTACAGATTTCCCAACTCTGACTATTCCCCTAGGTGGTTGCTATAATTTCCTTCAATATTTAGGTATTCACAGTAGCTGTGACTCTCTAAGGACCTTTTTGTTGGATTTTGTCCCAAAACTACAGTCACTTTCAATTGTAAACTGTAGTAATCTTGAAATGATTTTACAGGAGCGGGATCATAGCCTTTAGCAATTGGAAATTTTTGAGTGCCCCAAATTTGTATCATTTCCCAAAGGGGGATTCTTTGCACCCAGTCTTAAGTATTTTCAAATTTGCAAATTGGAGAATTTAAGATCATTGCCTAGAAATTAGGGATTGTTTGTTGCTCAAACAGCGATGCATGAAACCTAATGGTGAAGATTGGGGGAAGATTTCTCACATTCAATCCGTGAAGATCGATTACATTTATATGACTTGAAGTACAACTTCTAAATAATGCCTGCCCCAATTCTCATATTGCCAAGTTTTTAACCAGGTACCTACTCTGAGCACATGCATATGCATCTTTGAATCTCAAGTTCAACATCATTAGTATATCTCATGAACTGTTGCAGATTTAGATTGCATATTTTTTTTCTTGAATTTGTATTTTTGTCACGCACAACAATTTCTCCATGTTTCTTTTGTCAAACATCTAATTGATATGCATACATGTAAGGAACGTAGTATGTTCAATTCGGAGGTAACAATGAACATACGATAAACATGGTGCATGTTATCTTTTGTCTTGTTCACTATACATTCTTAATATCTTTTTCTGTCGACTGGTCTGATATAATTATGGGACTAATGGGTTGGTGGATTCAAATTCTTTGGCTTTAAATATTCCTTGATAATATAAATGTGCTCTACTAGTTCTAAAATGTTGCTTTAAACTTAAGGTAAGAGATTGACGAGGGTTCTGGATGATCAATCTTACAGATAGAAACATTGTATATAGTGAAAGACAATTCATATTTTGAATCTCATTGATCTTTGTAGGATAAGTTCTGAGGAGATCCTGCTACATAAGTTGTACTAGCATATATACAATCTCACAACTGAATTTCCTTCAAACATGGCTACCATGAGTTTGCTGTTTTCTTTATGTTGCGTGTATTCCAAACTTTGTTTCTGTAAGTTTATATGATTGTATTCCATATTCCTTAGAAATACTCGTTGCCCATTGTCTTGTATACAATTCAAAATCACTTTCATACTTTGCAGAAAAGAGGGGATAGAGGTTCCCTTCGAAGTATATTGAGAGAGACGAGGGGATAGAAGTTCCCTTCGATGTGGGGTCTTCTTCGGATTGGAAAATTTTGGCGGTCTCTGCAGATAAGAGGGTGTGCCATATATTCGAAGGATGCTCTATCCCTTTTTACTCTTCCATCTTTGAGAAATTAGGAGTACGACTCTCCTCGAATGTTTTTGAAAAGGGAGTATTGGATCATTCCATTCCTCCCTTGCAACTTCATCCATGTGTTTGGACTTTTGAGAGGGTCTTTCAATATTGGTATGAGTATAAGGGGAATATGAATTCGACTACCCTAAATCTCTTCTTCTATCTTTGCAAGTTAACCCCCTTCCAAGAGTCGATGCAGTGGGCTTATTTCTCTTTGTCGTTTGAGAAACGATATTTTCCATGTATTGACAGTTGAAACATTTTTAAAGAATATTATTTCCTGGTTTCCCCCATTTCTCCTCTTATCCATAATGAATTTTGCCCCGTTTCTTCTTCTTCTTTAACCCCAACGGTCTGTTCTGAATAGAGGAGGCAATTTCGGTCCTCATATCACTTTTCTCAAATAGTTGGAGATTATTATATTTCATATAGCTCTCAACCGATGCATAAAAGGAGATGAAGGAAACACCACTTTCATTCTATGACTTAGAAATACATTGCCACAACATCATTGAGGCAAACTCTATGGATGAGAGGAGAAAACTTTTAAGTAGCATTCCTTCTCTTATTTTACTTGAAATGTGCACCTTCGCCTATTGTCTTATTGGCTGTTGGGCTTTAAAGAATAAAGTACAGGATCTCATTGAAGCGAAGGAGATTGAGTTTGACCTTCCTGAGACACCTAATGTAATAACAGCGCCAATGCCCAAACATGGCCAAGGTGTCAATGCTATTGATGATGACCGTTTTGTTTCTTCCGTGGATGAATTAACTACTCCTCTTCTAACGGTAAAAGAGAATCTATTGAGTGCCAGTTTATTTCCAGGTTGTGGTGAAGGTTACCACTTATACATGTCTCTATCAGATGGCTGTTTATTGTTGAAGATGGGCGTCCAACGCCTGATGATTAACAAAGAAATTCTGTTCGAGAAAGTTCCTCTTGCCATAAATTCATGTGAAGATGTTTCGATAATTACAATTTCCGACAATCTTCCCAGGGTCTACACCAAAAGACCCGTCAAGATTACATCTGTTCTGAAAATTGCTCCCCTGATCATCACCATGTCAGGGCCAATACCATATTCCTCGAACAAAGTTGTTCCCTGGAATTATGGGACTGACGTCTATTACCATGGCGTCAAGCAAGACCTATTGGCTATCAAAGACAAAGTTGCTGAAGGTACTGATCCTGATGTCGCCAATATCATTGGGACCAGTAAGATAAAAAGAAGCGGAAGAGTTTTCTCTCCTGAGATCTCTCCTAAAACTGTTGCTACTCCCGTGATCATCCCTGCTGCTGCTTCTGCTCCTGCTAGTACTCCTATTATTACTCCGGTGATTATTCCTGCTGCAGCTCCTGTCAGTATTACCATGGCTACTCCTATTGTTAGTCCTATTGTTATCCCTGCTACCGAGTCGGCTGAGACTCGAGGCAAAGAGGTATTAGTTAATCCTTTCTGGACGAAGGCGCATCCAGAAGCCATCCTTGAGGCTTCTAAAAAGGAGATGGAAGAGATATTGAAAATAATCAAGAAGAGCGACTACAATGTGGTTGAACAACTAGCGCAGACCCCTTCCAAGATCTCAATACTGACCATGTTATTATGCTATGAAGCCCATGCTAAGGCTTTGATAAAATTTCTGAAGTCTGCCCATGTGCCTCAGGAGACCTCCGCTGATCAATTCGAGAATTGTGTGGCTAGTTTGACAGCTGACAATGGCCTGGGATTCTCTGATGCAGGCCTAACTCCCAAGGGGAGGAAACACAATGATGCTCTGCATGTCTCTATCGAGTTCAGGGGTACTACTTTGGCCCATGTTCTAGTGGATAAAAGTTCATCACTGAATGTTCTGCCCAAGAAGGCCCTTGACAGATTGGATTGCAAAGGATTGACTCTGAAACCCAGTAACATTGTGGTGAGGGCTTTCAATGGTTCCAAAAGAATGGTGCATGGGGAGGTGTACATCCCTATCAAAGTGGGTACTCAGACTTTTAATTCCACTTTCTATGTGATGGACATTCGCCCGTCTTACTCATGTTTATTGGGTCGATCCTGGATCCATGGGGCTGGTGTTGTGATTTCCACTCTACATCAAATGCTGAAATACACAGTCAATGGGAAAATTATCATAGTCCATGGGGAGGAGTAATACATGGTGAGCCACCTGAACTCTTTCAGGTATGTTGAAATGGGACGGCGAGTTCATTGAGACTCCCTGTCAGAACTTTGAAGAGGTTCTACAGACCGTTGCTGCAACCAAGACCACTGTCAGTGTTCCTAAAACTACCAGGCCTCCACTAAAAATGGCTTCTCTCAAAGATGTCAAGGCAGTAGTTGAAGAAGGTGGGTGTTCAATTTGGGGTCAACTTCCAGATATTCCCTACAAATCTGACAAATTTGGTTTGGGTTTTACTTCAGGAGCCCAGAGAGCTCTTCGTCGTGCTCGCGCCGGGGGACCACCTTTGCGGATCAGAAACCATGGAATCAATGCCCTGGAAGATAATGATATTTTTAAATTGTCAACCAATCACCACCATGTATCCAATTAAACCACTCTTTTATTTTAAAAAAATTTAATGACATTTGAATATTGTTGGATTTTTTATTGAATGAAAATGTAAAATTATTCTACAATGTCAATGCATAGCCATTAATCCCTTAATTTAATCTTACAATTACTAAACTATAACTCCTTGTTTAGTTGCAAACTAATATTTCTAAAAAAAGTGCCATTGTCCATGAATATAGAGAAGTTTGTTAATACCCATTTTACAATCGTAAAATATTCACTACATCAAATTCACATGCAAAATTAATCTTTCCTCCATGTAATATAATTGACTATATAAAATTCCTTTTGGTACCCCAAGATCATTAAACAAAAATTATTAAAAAATTGTTTAAAACGTTAAAATGGAAGAATTTAGTATTTCACAAGTAAAGAAGATATAGTGATAAATCAATGAAACAAACACTAAACCACTTCTTAGGTTTTCAAGTTATTTTATTTTTCACTATATCTTCTTCACCTGTTAAAATCCAATGCAACAAAAGCCTCCCCAATGATCTTCACATTCTTTCAATTAAAGATTTGATATTTATTTCTTTAATTTTGTATGTATTTTATTCATGATTTTTCTTTGTTATGAAGGGTGTGATCTATTTTTAAATTGTGAAAAACTTATCTTTTTTAGTTGTTGTTATTTTTAAGACTAGAATATTTGCTCTAGTGTTTGATAATTAGAGGGGAACATAATAGGGCAATGTGTTTCTTTCTCATGCCCGAGTATGATGCATACTTTTGTAATTGTTTTTATGTTTTTAAGCTTTAGTCCAAGAATTTTGTTAGTCTTTTATCAATTTTATCAAATTTTTGTATATAATCTTAAGATTTATAATGGTTTACCTATCATATAAATCAAGCATTAAAGTTTTCTAAAAAATTGTTTGGTTTATACTAATGATCAATATGTTTTTAGATCTTAACATTGTTATTCTTTTATAAATTAAGTGTCGTGTAAGGAAAAATCTAAAATATCTATTTTGATGAGTTAGTAGATCATATTAAAGTAAAGTAGTTTAAAATTTCCACGTGACACATTCAATGTTATTTCATTCATTTAGTTAGTTAATATTTAAATGACAAATTTTATAAATTAAGCAAACTAGAAATTTCAGAATATTCTTTAAATGTGTGAACTGAAGTTAAAAGAACCCTTAAATATGGAAAAAAATATATAAATTAAAATTGTATAATGTTTAAATTTTCTACACATGTTAGGAAAAAGGTTGTTTG